TTTTTTTAAGGTAGTTCTTATAGTAATTATTCATGTAAAAATTTCATTACACAGTAATTCTAGTAAATATACTTGATTAAAATGATATTTTAAAAAAATACAACACCTATTTAATACAAATAACTAATTGAACTGATTTTTTTTAATATACTCAAATTAGTTAATTAGCTATTTGGAATGATATGAATATGTACCGAAATAAAAAAAATTAAATGTGAATAATGAATTTCACCAAGAAAGAAAAGACATTAATAATGAACATGGCTGGTGCAAGATTTGGTGAAACAACAAAAGAGTATAGTTGGATATGAACAAATGAACAATATTTGTGAGTGCAACTACCTTTAATGGATTTAATTGTTGCAGCTGCATTTTCCCGTGGGCCTTTCTCTAATATAATGTGACTCTATGCAATGAAACAAAAAAAAAAAAAAAGGGAAAAAAACCCTCTATTATAAGAACATTCTGTTTTTTTTTGACGTAACATTTTGTCTAAAGTATTGATTTTTTATTTAATAATATAATTAAATAAAGTCTTTAGCTAACGATTTTTTTAGCAATTTTTGACATTTGCAATAAATTAATATTTTATACTAATCATTTTTGTTTGCATAAGGTTGATTACGTATGCTTATAAAAGAACCGTCGATTTCTTTCACCAATCACATCAAATCTTCACCTCTTGAGCGTTTGCATGCATAGTGATTATAATTTCTTGTGATATAACCAGCAACTTATTTAACGGCAATGGTCCTTACTATCTTTGGATGAGATTTCAAATTTAAATATAGTGTTGATACGTTTATTATGTACATGTGTTTAGTTGTACTCCTCCGGTCCTTATTATAAGACCCAATTTGACTTTTTATTTGGTCCTAATTATAAGACCCAATCCATTTTGTCTTTTATATTTATGCATTTTTTTTCAAAAAATCCTTCTAATAATGATAGTTTTAGCCAATATACTTAATTAGCAAGGATATTTTAGAATGACAACACTTATTTATTATAAATAACCAACTTAACTTACTTCCTTAATCTCCTCAAATAAGTCAATTGGGTCTTATAATTAGGACCGGAGGAGTATTATACAGGGAAAAAAGAGAACATCTCAACAACAAAAAAACTGTTGAATTTCAAAATTTTAAACTAGTATTGATTACTACACTGGAAAAAAACGATTACACTTAAAAAACAAATGACAATATATTTTTGTAGTAACTCCTGATTGGAAATTTTAAAATTTAACAGTCATTTTTTTATAAAAATTCAAAAAAAAATAACAAGATTAAATTTGGTGGAAGGAACGTTATCTGATATGAAAGTCTTCAATTGTGCATTAACAGCAGCGGGTCCGAAGGTTTTCAATTCATCAATTGGATCACGAGATCTTTGCGGCAATTGAAATTCAATTGGGCTACACAGAGACTCTTCAATGAATCCATAAGATAGATAACGTGGCTCAAAACACTGTTCATAAAAGCCCAATCCGAGAAGCAAAGCGTTAAGCCACACACCCTTCTAATTACAGGAACGATCATACTTGGAAACCAATCCGTCAATTTAGTTTTTCACTTTTGGCAAAAAAAAAAAAAAGGTTTTCACTTCGAGTTCGAGATAACAAAATTCCAAATTTTTAGTCAAGGATCTTTGGTCTTAATAATACTCTTACAGTTCTTATATTAAGATCTATTTAACTAATTTGATTAGATTAAAAAAATTAAGTAAGTTAGTTAATTATAAAAAATTAACATGTTTTTTCCTAAAACACCATAATCATCTTTTTTAATATCCTCCTTCCCTCTTCTATTTGATTATGATTGAGAGAATATTTATAAGGGTAATTTAGAAAAAATTAATAAATATAAGAAATATGTCTTATATTTAGGATCAAAATCAACTCGACAATTAGGTTCTATGTTAAGGACGGGGGGGAATAGTAGTAGTAATACTATACCTCCGGTTCTTAATATAATATTTATTTGACTTTATTTTGATCTTAAATATAAGACCCTAATATACTTTGTTTTTTAATATTTATTTATTTATATTAAAATAGTTTTTGTAATAATAGTAGTTATAGCCAATACACTTGATTAGAAAAAATATTTTAGAAAAATAATACTACCTCCGATCCTTAATATAAGACCTTGTTTGATTTTTATTTTGGTTCTAAATATAAGACCCCAATCCACTTTGTCTCTCGTATTTATACATTTTTTTCCAAAGTAGCCCTTCTAATAATGATAGTTATAGTCAATACACTTAATTAGTAAGGATATTTTAGAAAAGATAACACCTATTTAGGACAAATAACTAACTCAACTTACTTCCTTAATCTCCTCAAATTAGTTAACTGGCTCTTATAATTAGGACCGGAGGTAATACCTGTTTATCACAAATAACTAGTTTAACTAATTTCTTTAATTTACTTAAATTAGTTAACTAACTCTTATATTAAAAACTAGAGGTAATATAAATTTACATAAAAGTAATTAAGTAATCACTTTTCATTTTTAAGTATGTTTGATTCTTTATTTGAAACACTTTGACCCCAAACTAAAATTATAGTAGTATTGAATATTGATGTACTCATCCTAAGTGTAAGGTCCGGCTTTTTTTTTTTTTTTTAAACTTCAAAATCAGGAGATTTTGTTTAAATGTGTTAAATCTTGGAAAAATTTACACTATATCTAAAATAGATGAGTTTTTTAGGTGAACTTGGACTTGGTTTGAATTGGGAGAAAAAAAAGAGATAATACCATGAAAAAACCTTCAAAAAATTTGACATTTACCCCGCTAGAGTTACTTTTTTATTTATTTTCATCCAAACTAAGTATCTATATTTTTTTTTACCGCAAAGTGATGCAACTCTTATACGTATCTTAAATATTTTCAATAATTTTGTTTTTAGTTCCAACAACTTGTGTAATATCACAATTGGAAAAATAACATAGGTATAAAGTTTATCTAACACCATTATTTAAAATTATTAAAACAGCTTTAGAAATTGAGTTATTTTAATTGCATTATTTTGGGTAACTGAGCATAAAATTATTAAAAAATGTAAGGTGGGTGTGAAGTTTGCATAATTTTATTATTGAAATGCACTAACCTCACTTAAAAATTCACTCACTTCAGATTTGGGCTAATTAATTTTGGGAATTAAAAGTAAAGCTACTGTATATAATTCGTATGATAACCCTACTACTGAAATTCATTAGCCTCACATGGTAATTAATTTATTTTGCATTTAAACTAAATTATATTTTTTAAAAAAAGAAAATGTTAACAACTAAAATATGGTGACCTTGCTGCTAGAATATTTTGTTACTATATGTAAGTAACACTTTGTGTTAATATTTTTTATTTATTTTTATTTTTTATTAATTATATGTCCCTTTCGTCTTTTTTCATATTTAGAATATAAATAAGGAAAAATTCCAAAAAAATAATAGTTGAATTTTAAAATGACAAATCAGGAATTACTACAAAAATGTGTTGTTATTTACTTTTTGACTATAGTAATTTTTTTAAAGTGTAATAATTAATATTGATTTAGAATTTTAAAATTCAACAGTTATCTTTTTTAGATTTTTTCTATAAAAAATACCTATTTATTATTTTTAATTAATTTTAACCAGTATTTCAATTTACGGCTTTTGGTTAGGTGTTGAGGGGGTAGTTCTTGGGCTTCAACGGTCCTTCTCTGTGGATATTCCTTTTAGTGTATGTTGGGAACTGGATAACAGAGAGTGGCGCTAAACCTGGTTAGCTGTAACCTCTATCCGCTTTTATCAATTCGTTTTTCATGGTGATGATGACCTCTCGCGATTGCTCTTCATGGCTTAGTGTTCGCTCTCCCACCGCTACCTCAGTTTCCCTCAAGCGCCATTCCTCTCTCTTCTCCGTCTCCTGTAAGAAGGTGACCGTTTTCCCAAGTTGCTCCAGTGGTTCCACTGATTCATCTTCATCTTCATCACCATCTACTCGCTCTTACACTCGACGATGGTATAATCCTCTAAGACGGAGAAATTTCGAGCCGGCTCCTGAAATTGAACGCCATTGGGTTGAAGCCGATCATGAAGCACTAGCATCTACCGGTTTTCCTACTTTCCCTCTTCTTTCGTTGCATAGTTTGGAGAAAAAATCTTCACCTAACGACATTTTTGAATTCAGCTTTTTTTGTTTCTCGAAGGGCATAGGGTGGAAGAATGACTTTTTATTTGTCAAGCATGATATATATTATTCGTAGCAAGTATAAGCTATGCGTCTGTGGGTTTTAATGTCTCTCTTGTTTCCTTGGCTTTGTCGTATGTGGGGAACTTACGTGTTCCAGAAAGATTCACCGTGGTATCTTATAACGTACTGGCGGATAGAAATGCTTATGAGCACAGAGATTTATACTCAAATGTTCCTTCTCAGTACCTGAAGTGGAATCATCGTAAGAGAGTTATTTGTAAAGAACTCTTTGCTTTGGACCCAGATATTATATGTTTACAAGTAAGGCATTGTCATCTTTCTCTTATTTTCTGTTTCTTTTTAAGGAGATTAAATATTTTGTGATTGCCTAGAGCTGAATCACAAAGAGTAGCTTATGGTAAGTTGGAACGATTTGTCAGGAGGTTGACAGGTATTGGGAGATCTCAAACACTTTGGTTAAAGCAGGATATATAGGATCTTATAAGGTATAATTTCAACCATGGGTTACCATCTATATTGTTTGGCAAGTTCTATTACATCTATTATAATGTCTCGGTTATATAAATATATATATATTTATATATAGAATAAACCGTCAGTATGTCTTGAGTTCCACCAAGTATGAGTTCCCTGACCATCTTTTGGACTAGCTTCCTTGGTTGACCTGATGAGCTAGGATCATCAAAACATGCTGATTCAGAAGGCATGCTTGAGTGCTTTATAGTTAGTAATCTATTCACCAAATTATCAAGAAGAGTACTTTCACCAAAAATTAAAAAAAATATCAAGAAGAGTAACTGATGAGGTGATAATGACATTTGAAAATGGGCTGCAGAGGCGTACTGGAGACACAATTGATGGTTGCGCTTTGTTTTGGAAAGCTGACAAGTAAGAAAAACAGGGTTTAGTTTATTGATTGCTAAGGTTTCCTTTTTTTTTTTTTTGGTTACATGTAACTGATTTATGGAAGTTTTGACACCATTTTGTCTGTCTGTTAGGTTTCGGTTATTGGAAGGAGAGAGTATTGAATTTAAGGGCATTGGTCTCCGTGATAATGTTGCTCAGCTTTCAGTTTTTGAGGTACTAACTCCTTAGAATAAGCGATTTTCTTTTCCACTTTGCATTTGGCATCTGAAGCTATTGGATGAAGGATTTTATCAATAATTATTTTTTTTTTCTTTCAAAATATGTGGGCCTCCTATGGCATGTAGTTGCATGGGAAACAGTTTCAGAGACAAGGGATAAAGGGATTGAAGGAACTATCAGTAAATTCTTTTCCCACGCCCCCCCGGGGGGTGGGGGAGGTTGGTAATATTGGATGTTGTAAGCTTCTCCAAACCGTAAGACAATAATATTTAAGCTAATTACTTTGAAGCTCCAAAATTAAGGGGTCTAAGAGGTGAAAATTTAAGGTAGATGCTTATGTAGTCTTCGATGGTAAGTTCCTAAATCCAGCGCATGTGTTGAAAGAGGTTTTTTTATCCCAACAGCTGTAGACTTTGAGTGTGTGAATGTCTTATGAATTCTGATTACTTATTGCTGCACGCCATGGCATGTGAAATCCAAACAAGTAGTCCTGCCCGGTCTTGTGGCCTCGTGGATCTAAATTCTGATAATCGAATTGCATCATTCTAGGGTACATCAAGCAGTCTTGCATCCTTTGTGCTTCTAACTTATACGTTACAGGCAGATGCGTAAATCTGACTCGAGAAGACTACTAGTCGGTAACATCCATGTGCTTTATAACCCAAGCAGAGGAGAAGTTAAACTAGGCCAAGTAAGTCTCTTGTGTTGCTTTGCAGTTTCTATGTCAGATTATCATTACATGATAATAACTAGATGCAAAGATCAATTTAATACCCTTTTTTGCGTATAGAACTTCTGAATTTAAGGTTTGTGTGGGGTTCTTTAATTGCATAATACTACCTCCAGTCCTAGATGCAAGATCTAATTTGTAGTGCAAATTATACTACAAACTAGATCTTATATTTATGACTGGGGGTAGCATATAATTTTCAGGAGGTCATTTTTATTGAACAGAATATCCCAGATTCATTCTCAAGTTTTCTATTGCTCTCTCAATCCTGCTGTACTGTAATTGTTATTAAACTGAAATATTTTATATTTTCAGGTTCGTTCACTCTTGTCAAGAGCACAGACGCTTTCAGAAAAATGGGGAAATGTTCCTGTTGTGCTTGCGGGTGATTTTAATAGTACTCCTCAGGTGCCATATTTTAAAATATACATGCTTTTTTGTCTTCAGCAAGTCAAGGCCGAGCAACAGGTGCCTAGACTTGCATTCTGTGTTTACTTTTGTTGTATTGATTTGTTTTCTGTTTGTTTTTTCCCCTTCAAATTTCTCATCAACAGAGTGGTATATACAAGTTCTTGACATCGTCTGAGGTGAATACTTTCATATTGTTAGATAAGCATTTTTTTGGTTTGCAAGTTCATTTTATATTGCAATAACTTGGATTAATCATGTGAGGCGAATAACTTGTAGGTGCTTGCTTGAAATTAACTGTGGTTTTTAATTGCAGTTAAATATCATGTTATATGACAGAAGGGAATTATCTGGACAGAAGAACTGTCATCCTGCTCAAGTCTTAGGCTATAAAAAAGAGGCAGTCAATCCATTTATCTTAATTGATAGGTTCGTCTCTCTCTCTCTCTCTCTAAACTCTGGCAATTATTGATTTATCATAAGCTTCTGTGCCGGTTTATATAGTAGGGAATTAGTTTTTGATTATTCACGTGCTTAAGATGAAGTAGTGCAAGTGTAATTGGCTTCATGGTCTGATTACTTTCTGAGGGAAATGCAATTTTGCTACTTTGTCATTTCTAGATTCTGCTTCCTCCGGAACTCTGATGATTTGTGCTCAAGTCATTCTGTCGTTAATTTGTTAAGACTTGAGAGTTTCTTATTCTGTCAGTGAACTTTTTTTTTTTAATTAAGAGAAGCTACGTGGGATTCCTTTTTTTTTTTTTTTTTTTTTTAAATGAATATGCAGATTTCTGTTGCCCTGCTTTAGTGTGATTTGGGTCAACATGCATTTTCATGACTAATTTCCTATTGCTTAGTATATTGAATGATTCGTAATTTGTAATGGGATCGCTGTTTGATTATATCTTTTTATTGTAGAACATGAGTTTCTTGAATGTGGCATAGGCTACTTAGGCTTTTCCTCTGAGCATTATGTTCACAGCTATACCTTCCAGATTGTTTCAAAACTGGACAGATGAGGAGGTAATAACTGCAACAGGAAGTTCTGAGCGTCACTTCGTTGTGCACCCATTCAAACTTAACAGTTCTTATGCCAAGGTTAAGGTATATGAGCATCATTGTTTCGTCACCTTTTTTTTTTTTTTTTTTTTTTTGGGGGTAGAATCATCAAGTATCCTATGCTACTAAGTAATTGTAATCCTTTATTTTCTTGACTCCTTCTTTCATGTGAAAAAAAAAATTATCATGTCACTGGAAAGATATTATCATCTTCTGTATAAAATGGGATTTGTTTCCGACTACCTTCAAATGGAATGTTCTACTTTTCCAGGGTTCAGCAAGTACTCGGGGATTCAATGGTGAACCCTTGGCAACTTCCTACCACTCAAAGTTTCTTGGCACTGTTGATTACTTATGGTAACCGGCATCTTCAATAGGCTAATCAATGTCTTTTGTTGTAAATGACTTGAGATTAAATGATATGAATTTTGCAATTGATGCAGGTACTCTGACAGCATCATACCAACAAAAGTTTTGGATACTGTTCCAATTAATATTCTCCGGAGGACAGGTGGCCTTCCCTGCAAGGTAATTACTAGGTTCTTGGCGCTAAATTCCATTTTAAATCATTATTCATGGAGCATTTAATATTCGACTAAGTCATCAGATATGCTTGTTGAGGGGGATTATGGAAGCTCGCAAAATATGATGAAAAATTGAAATGAAAAAAGGCAAATAGATTAAGATTTTAGACTTTGGAGAACTCATATCTAACAGATAATCCAGATGCTGAGAGAAATCCACTTTATATGTTAGCATTTCTCTTTAGAATCACGATTATCATGCTTGCCTCTGCTCTTCCTCGAGTATCCCAATTGATAGAAAAAACTGGAATCGGAGGTTGATTCCAAAATATGTTCACGGGTAGTTCATTGGATCGTTGATCCTCTTATCAGCTGATATCTGTTTCAGTGCACTGTAACGTATTAGATTCCTTGGACCTTTGTTTGGTTCCAAACTCCATAATCTCATAATGGATAAAACATTATAATTTTTTCCCCTCCTAATCTAACGGTTCTTTTTTATGAACAATAGGGGGTGGGAAGTGATCACTTGCCTTTGGTTTCGGAATTTGCCTTCTCACTTACCACCAATGCAACTACCGAACTAGATGCAGAGGCAGCATCTTCTCCTGCAGTAGAGAATTAAAGAACACAACAACCTGTTGTCAGAAATCAGCTGAGTGTTTGTGTTTCGAAACAATATTTGATTTTAAATTTTACTTGGGTTCGCCTGGACTATTGGGAAACAGCATGATAAGCTTGGTAGTGCAGAGGAATACAGTAAGGAAAACGCCTCCTTAAAATTTCTTAGGTATTTATTATTAAGTTTTTCAGTAAAAACATAGTATGCGAAATAATTTTTTTTCTTTAAAGACTCAATCATATGGAGTTGTTAAAGATATCTAAATAGCTAGTTTTCGTTTAAGAATTAGAACTTGACAGTAAATTGTCACAAATTATGCTGAAGTTTGTATATGTTATGATCAAGGTATCGATTGCCATGTTTTATCGTTCTGTCTTTCAAAAATAATTAATCTGAATATTCCATCTTTTCCATATAATGTGTGTTACATGATCTATTATTACCTCCGACCATAACTGGCCTGCTGTGAAATTTTACACGTGTTAGTGTGATGATCAAATTTCGTCATGATGGAGATGTTTCATGCTCTTTTTGAGAGACAAAGCTATGTGCTTTGGCGAAGCCGAATAGGGATTGGCCACGGGGATGTTCTTTTGTATCTTTAATATAAGACTTAATTTGATTTTTTAATTTGGTATTAAATATAAGACCCCAATTTATTTTGTCTTTCATATTTATCCACTTTTTTTTCTAAATTTATTTTTATAGTAGTTGCATATGTTAAAGTTTTTATCAAATAGTAATTTTAGTTAATATACATGATTAGCAAATGTATTTTAGGGGAAATAACATTAACTGATTTAACTAATTTTTTTAATCTACTCAAATTAGTCAACCAGTTCTTATATTAAGAACTAGACGTAATAGTTATTGGTCGAAGATTTATAATCAGTTTTTGTATTTTCTTTTTTCAAGGCTTGAGTTATGCATAAATTGCAAGTCCATTTAGACATGGTCATTTTAGTTAGTGATTTCATATAATGCACCGCTTATTACTTTAGAAAAATCTAACTTCTTAAATGATGATTCACGTGCAAATTTTTTAATGATAACCCAGAGCATTCATATTCAAGAAGGCAATGTTGATCGATAAAGTCGACTTACTATTGATTTGGGGTACAAATCAAGGTAAGAAAAATGTGGAGGGAAGTATTTTTAGTTGTTTGGTAAATGATAAAGTGGGTTTGTTTGAAAGATAGTCTAATGTTTATGAAAGAGAGTATTTACATTTCCTTTCCTATTCGTGTTTTATGCCAAACAAATTCTAAGGGTCTTAAGTTTGAGTCTTTTGAACGAAATTGTGTTCAATATTTGTTGGGAGAACACTGCCGCCCTTGTGGTTCTTCCTGACTTAGTTTAATTTATGTCCCATGTGGCTAGCAGATACCTGGTGTTTAATATTTAAAAGGGGGAAAAAAAAATGAAAAGAAGCCGTGGGCTTGGAATTAAAGATCTGGGAAAGCAAAGCATTCATAATGAAGAATCCTATTAAAAACTTATTTGGCATTATACAGGGAAGCCTTAAAAGTTAGTTGGAACTAAAAAATGCTAGTTAGATGAAAATAAAAAAAGATACTGATTCTAAATATAAGAGCTAGTTGACTAATTTGAATAGATTAAAAAAGTTAGTTATTTGTATTAAATATACGTTGTCTTTCCTAAGATATCCTTGCTAATCAAGTGTATTGACTAAAACTACTAATATTAGAAGAACTACTTTGAAATATAAGACTTTTTGTGACTTTTATTTTGGTAAATATAAGACCTCATTCTACTTTATCTCTCATATTTATGAATTTTTTTCCATGGTAGTTTTTTTAATATTGGTAGTTCTAGCTACTACACTTGATTAACAAGGATAGTTTAGAAAAGACAACACATATTTATCATAAATAACTAACTTAATTAACTTCTTTAATCTACTCAAATTAGTCAACTAACTCTTATAACTAGGAGCAGAAGTAGTATGATTTTAGGGTTAACTGACTTTTTAGTTTTTCCTCAAGTAATATGAAAGTGAAAAAAAAAATTGTGTCATTTGAATTTTTTTGTCAGTAACTTCTCAATATTTCGTCAAAATAAATTCAAAATCTCATGCTAACATATAGAACATAACCAAGAAATATAATAATCTAAAGTCGGCAAGATAAATGTCACTTTTAACAATAATCCAAATAAGATCTAAATATATCTTGTGACTCATGCTTCCTACATGGGTCCCACACATCATTCTTATAAGTCAATGGAATGGAATAACCCTCATGATGATGATCTATTCACCAGAAGACTGAAATCCGGAAAAATTGAGATTGATGGAGAACACCGACTTAATTTATTTCATGTTTTTCGTGGAGCATATGTTGCCGACCATAAAAGGAAACGCATTTCCTTAAAAGCAGTCCTTAATTCCATTTTAACCTAAATTGGATTCCGTGGCCTCACTTGATTTTATCTCCCTTTTTCGCAAGATAAATTGATTGAAGTTGCCTTTAAATCCACTGCGTGCCGCTGCCGTTGACCTTCCAATCTGAACCGTTCTTTTGCTCCATCGCCGTCTTTATCAACCATTCAGATTGTTCCGACTTCCAAGATTCACGAGAAAAAAACAATAATCAATAATCCGTACTATCTAAAGATCTACAAGTAGAATGACAGTTATGTTCCCAAATATTGATTTAATGACGTTTAGGTCCTCGTAATTTTTCTGCAACATAAATTACAATTATTAATTTAAATATCTTATTTATAATTGGAACTTTTCAATTAATTATTAAGAAAATTTTGTGTAAAGATCTCATCATTCCCGACCTACCCTCTTGTTCTTATTTATAAGACCTCTTCCCAAAGATATTTCTTTTGTCATTTTTACAAGACCCTACGTTTGTTTCCATGATTATTAAATATTTTTTTTCCATATATACTGATATTTAATAAGAATAGTAGCATAATGGAAATTAATATGGTACTGAAATTTAATGTAGTTAAGGGAGATAATATTAAGAATCACTTGAACATTACTAAAAACAAAATTAATGTTTTTAACTATTTTTATTAGTATGTGTGAATTAGTTAATATTATTGAATCAGTTGAATTAGTTAAAATTAGTTAATACTACTTCCGGTCCTAGTTATAAGAGCTAGTTGACTAATTTGAGGAAATTAAGAAAAGAAGTTAAGTTAGTTATTTATAATAAATGTGTATTGTTTTTCCTAAAATATCTTTACTAATTAAGTGTATTAGCTATACTTATCATTATTAGGAGGACTATTTTAGAAAAATATATAAATATAAAAGATAAATTCTATTAGAGTCTTATATTTAAGATCAAAATAAAAGTCAAACAAGGTTTTATATTAAGGACCGGAGGTAGTATTATCTCTAATTTTAATATAAGAGTTAGTTGACTAATTTGTGTAGATTTAGGGAGTTTGTTAAATTTTTTATTTGTAATAAATAAGTATTGTCTTTTTTAAAATATCCTTGTTAATCATTTATGTTAGTTAAAACTACTATTTAATGGAATTTTTAACATGTCTAACTACTAAAAAGACTATTTTAAAAAAATAGATAAATATAAGAAATAAAATAGATTAAGATCTTATATTTAGGATTAAATAAAAAAATCAAACTAACTCTTATATTATTTTTTTTGACTGGAAACTAACTCTTATATTCAACATGAGGGGTAGTGTCTTGTAAAAATAACAACGGTGAGTAACTATTATTAATTAATATCAAATCTACCACAGCCAGGAATGGCAGGATTCATTTGATAATCATTTAATAATTCTCCCTGCTTCACGTTAGGCTTACGTGTAATTCAAATCCACGACAAAATTACCAGACAGCGACACATAGCAGCGTGGCCAGTCAATGCCCTCCACGTGGAACTTCATACTTAACTGATATATGGTTTCCCCTCCATGAAGGCAAGGGTCGTAACTCGTAACTTGCCCCCTTCGTCTTTCCTGAGATTCCAGGTCCCCGGTTCCGAACTCCCCCCCCCCCCCCTGATTTCGTTGAAGCAGATTTGAATTTACGCCTTCAATTGCGACGCGAATTTTGGGATTTCGTATAACTCTTCTGTTTCTATTTCGTTGTTGGGTGATTTGATTGGAATACAAGGCAACCTGAGATTTTGTAGCGTATGATGCAACGGTTTGTTGACACCGTCCTCGCTGTCACTAAAGAGTAAGGCCATGCTTTGATCATTATGGGTTTGGAATCTTTGTGAATGTCATGGTACTTGATCGTATATCGCTTAATTGACTGTCACTCAAGAGGAAGGCCATGTTACTTTTTTAAGCAATGTGGTTGCGAATTAAATCATGATACTTGATTATATTTGCCTTAATTGAGAGGATGTTCGTGTTTGCTCGTTATTGTTATGTAGCTAGGCAATCGGCGTTGCGGCGAAAATGATTCGATCCCTAGAATGCTTCCCCCCCCCCCCGGGTCCGTGTAATTTGTCACTGCCTGTAATTTCTTGTTATTTGTCTTGGAAGCACGTGATCAATGTAGTTTGCTTTTTGAATCTGAATTCATGTAATTTTATGGGTCCTGGGGAATGGGTTGTTTACTTTCACCCTCTATTGTGTATCAGCTGTTCGTTAGATCAGCTAAATTCTTCTTCTTCTTCGCCCTCTAATTTGGAGCTTGACGTCCCCCCCCCCCCCCCACAATGACTAGGGGAATAATTATGCGCGACTTTTTTTCTATGTATAACATTTAATTCAACTCAGAAGCTTTAACTGTTAAAACCCATAATAGTTTCTATTATATACTTTAACATCTTTCAATCAAGTGGCTGGAGGATGAACATTTGCATTTGGTTTTTAGTTCAGGTCAGTGAAGACATTTACTTATGAGTCCGTGAACAATATTGTGAGGCTGATCAATGGAATTTCCGCTCTCTTGTTGACATTTCTACCTGGGAAAGCAACTATACTTGAAGGTATTCATGGTTGGGAGCTCAAGCCAGCTTTCCGTGGACCACGTTTTCCACGTTGGATGGAAAAGTAAGTTTTGCAGATTGACATTAGTAATTTCTATCATAATTTTACTTTTAAATGTATAAAGCTTGTGTGTACTTATGATAACCCCTGGATGATTTACATGATTGAAATTTTTCCTGTCAATTTTTGGTTGGGTGGAGGAGTAATAGGCTATAATCAAGGAATACCAAAGTTAGTTTTTCTTTTTGGTAAAAGTCAGTGGTTTAGTTACGAGAAGCTTTCTCTTAATGGCTATTCCAATATTATATTTGTTGTTGTGGTTCCTGTTTCACTATCACATACCTCATGCGGGTTGTGTATACAGGTATTGATTCATTTTGGTGCATGTTCTGATACAGCGAGGATTCATCTCTGAATCTTCCCTTGGTTATTTGAGTTGCCGTTAAAGATTATAGTCTTTGCCTTCCCATTGTGCCTTTTGGTTTTGGTCAAGGCGCTGTCAATGATACTGGTTAATTTATAATAGAAAAAGCAGAACTGAATTTGGCAAATTCTGAAAGGAATCAAAACTAACAAAAAGAAAGCATCAGATCACCATGAATTGTGATTTAGGATCAAAATTAAATGACAGAACTACGAGAAAGAATTAGGAGAGGTGGGGGAGATAAAGAATAATGAAGTCTAGAGAGTGAAGTTAGAGTGAACTAGGAAAAAGTCCAGGGATCAATGATCTAGGAAATGAATTACTTTGATTTAAACTTTCTAGTGTATTAGATTTCTTCCGGTTTTGTACAAAAGCATAAGGTCTTACATCAGTTTTATTATTCTAGTCTAGATTCTTTACAATTCTGTATCATTTACGTTTGTATTGTTGTTCTCTTCTATATCTTTGAAAATTGCAGTTTAGAATATGAACTTATATTGTTCTTACACATGCTTATCATTCTATCCTAATGACGTGGCACCTTTAATCTTGAATGCTGCTTTTGACGTGTTTTTTCTTGCCTTTTCTTCCCCTAGTGGTGTGTCCTCTTTCAACCAGTTCATTCATGAACTTTCTGTGGATTCTGATACTGATACTTCAAGCCTGGACACCTTATCTGGAGAGGAAGATAGTTCTGGATATGAATCTGCTGGATCTCCTGTATCACAAAGTTCTAGGGCCTCTAGATCTAGTTTTACCAAGCACAGTTGGCAGCAGATGAATTGGATCCAGTATATCATGATATGGGTTTTGTTCCCCTTCAAGCTTTTTCTGGGAATTCCAATTCGTCTTTTTCAGTTAGCCTATTCTAGGTTCTCAAAAAGCCCATCTATCCCTGGAAGCCCACGTCCTACATGTTTGCATTCAGCGAGGAGAGTGCGAAGCCTCAAGGACCATGTTATTCACCATGCAACTGATCGGAGACGTGGAGTCATTGAGGTTGTGTGATACTTGCAATCTATTGTGTTTTGTTGTTAGTTTGTAAATATCTCTAGATAGATTTTACATCCTTGTTATTTGTGTGTTGCTCATAAAATTCTATTGCCAATCAATTAGGATCTCCATCTATTCATAGAGATATGTATAGAAGCTATATTTGATGTCGTTCGCAAGGCCGCACACCTTCTTCTCTCTCCCTCAGAAGCCTTTGGGGCGTTAAAATGGCTGTTTTCATCTCATGAGAGTGGCATTAAGGAAGATCATGATGTTGCAGATGTTTCTGTTTCTACAGCTGTACTGGGGAAGGATGACCCGAAACCTTCAGAGAGGAATACCAGCTTTAACGAGTCTTTGAATACAGATGCCCGGACATGTCAAGATGTCATAACAGAGCTTGGGTAAAAGCTTTTTCATATCTTCATTTATCCTATTCTTTTGATTTTGAAATTTTGTCAGCCTGTTTCATAATTTCTACTCCTTCCTTTGACAGGTATCCATATGAAGCTATTCATGTGATCACTGCAGATGGATATATTCTTCTCTTGGAAAGAATACCTAGGTAAATGGACTCTAGAAGAAAATTTAACCCTCTTTGATAATTGAATTGACTTTGACCATCCAAAGTTGAAATTTAAAAGCATGCTCTCTGGGAATCTGCTGTGAATCATGACAAATATGGAGATAGAATGCATGGTGTAATTGACATATTTAATATCTCAGCTCTATTATTAGTGTTGATTATGAATTACATCTGACAAATCAAAGGGAACCATCGGGAATTAGTCTTTTTCCTGTCAGTCAGACATCTTTTTGAACGGAAGGTATGATTCATTAGAAATAGTAATAAACTAATAATACATGGGAAACTTAAAAAATTATGTGCAGAAGCAGAAAGCACTGTGGAGGCTGGAAGAAATGTTGATGTTTGAATATAGTGAATTGTTAGAGTGCATCGCTATAAACTTAAAAAGATGGAGACTGCTATAAATTGGACATGGTACATGGGGTCTAATACTTATAATCTGGTGTCGCAGGCGAGATGCACGAAAAGTGGTTTATCTTCAACATGGAGTTTTAGATTCATCCATGGGGTGAGTCATACTGTTGTCTCTTTCTTGCTTAGTTCTCATTGATTCCATGATGATTTTTGCTTATATGAGAAGTTTAAAAAGTCAGATGGTTTATTTTCATTTGAAAAACTCCTATTATTACAGTAGTTTTTTCTCTGGAGGAGTTATTATTTCTGAGCAGTGAGGATGATCATATAAATTCTGATGCCCGTTCAATGACTATATAACTGCTCATAAAGCCCCCACATAGTCAGTAAAGTAGGTTGACTAAGTTTTGCTTTATCTACTTAAGCATCTTCATGAGTCCTAATATTATTCTTATTATTATTTTGGTATACTGCATGAGTCCTATTATTAATTATTAATTGTTTAAACATAGTTAGAGATTGATATTTCCTGTTAGCTTCATTTAAAAATAGGAGTATGATTTTGGGATTTTGCTGAACGAACTTTCTCACTATTTGTGAGGTTGTACTTGTAGTGCTACCTTAATTACCATATACTACAGCAAATGAATGGTTGGATTGAAGGGGTAATATTTTAGTTAATCAAAGAAATCTATCCCAAATGGTAAACGATTAAAGGTTTAGTTGTGCGAAGAGTTGTTGGTGGTGTGGATATTTATTTTAAGGAAAATAATATGTTTTTACGTGCATTTTATCAGAAATGTGCTCAAAAGTGTATTCTGTTTCCTATAACTTGTATGCTTCTGGTTGAGTTGAAGTACAAGGAATGGGAATGAGTCCCTGATAGCTGTTGGGTGGGATCGAGCTCAATAATTAGTGTCTCTGTTTGTGTTTAGAAAATAGACATAAATAAAACTAGTTAAGGAGAATTCAACATGAACAACTTCAAGTTATAAATACTTCCTTCACATTTTGAGATATAAAAAAAATTCTCACAAATCTTTAATCAAACAAAATATAACCCAGGTTTCTGTTTATTTTATTTTTTTTATTTATTTATTTTTCTTGTAGATTAGTGCTATCATGTTAGGATTGATGGTGGTTGATGCGTGTGCTTTAATACCATGTCGAGAAAATAGGAGGGGCAAATAAGTTACGGAGAAAGAGATGGTTAAAGAAGAATATGCTATTGAACTATTAAATCTCAATCATATTGCCTAAGTATAAAATCGACAGTGATGCTTCAATCTCTTTGTATTGCTAATGGTGGCCACACAAATACACTTGAACTATTCACTTGAGGGAACGTTGTGGCTGTAATTATAGCACGTGGATTCAATACTATTCAAATTCAAGCATCTGACACTATTTTCTTAGCATCTAAAAAGCATTTGAATCCAGGCTCTGCTCTATATGAACATATTTCTGTTGATTCATATCAGAGGATGTGTAGGGAGTTAAAGAATTATTGTTTGTTATACACGTGCTGTTGTTTAACTCATTTGGTTGCATCCTAAAGCTTGTGTTTCTTAAGAGGATGTCTAACCCTTATTATGATGCAAAAGTTGTTTATTTGTTTTTCTTTTTGGTCCTCGGTTTTATTGAAGGGGTTTGTTTACTAGGCATGCATGTGGAGTGGTGTATATTTTGCTACTTTGTTTAGTGTTGCTTTTCATTTGTTTGTTGAGGAGGTTATTTATCCTGTCATTATACTTTCCATTGTTCTTTCAGTGATAAAAGCCGCATTGCATTGTTGTAAGCATAAAGAAAAATGGATGGAGTTGTCAATTATGTTCATTCCCAGTTGCCTGGATTTTGAGTTATAATGTGGCCATGATACTATGAACTCATTTTCAAATTCTTTTCTGTAGCTGATAAAGTATGTAAATTATATATTCTAAAAAGTCAAAATATTTTTTTTCCAGTTGGGTATCGAACGGAGTTGTTGGATCTCCAGCTTTTGCAGCCTATGATCAAGGTTCGTTATATTTGTCAGGATACCATACTTTCACTCATGAGAAAATGCATCTGTTTCCAGAATAATTACATGTAGTTTTTTTTTTTTTTGTTTAACAGGGTATGATGTATTTCTGGGGAACCTTCGTGGTTTGGTCTCAAGGGAACATGTCAACAAGAACATCTCATCACGTCAGTAAGTGCACAAAGCAAACTATCTAACTCATTTGTGTTTTCATGTCCATATAATCTAGATTTTCATCTTATGATATTTTATGCACTATTGGCCTGTCATATAAATGATAATTTTTCCTTTATTTTTTATATGCAGGTACTGGCAGTATTCCATCAACGAGCATGGGATTGAGGATATTCCTGCCATGATAGAAAAAATCCATGAAGTAAAAACTGCAGAATTAAAGCTCAGTAAACCTGATTTTGAAGAAGAAACTAATGAGGATCACCCTTACAAGCTTTGCGCAATTTGCCATAGTTTGGGAGGAGCTGGCATGATTATGCATGTTATTACACGCAGAATCGAAGGAAAACCTCACAGGCTATCGAGATTGATTTGTTTATCACCCGCCGGTTTTCATTATGACTCAAACATAGTTTTTTCTGTTGCGGAGCATGTATTACTTCTGCTGGCTCCTATTTTATCTCCTCTTGTGCCTGCTTTCTACATACCAACCAGATTTTTCAGAATGCTTGTCAACAAGTTAGCCCGGGACCTGCATAACCTACCAGCAGTTGGAGGACTGGTTCAAACCATAATGAGTTATGGTGTTGGTGGAGACAGCTCAAACTGGGTTGGCGTGTTAGGGTTACCCCACTACAACATGAATGACATGCCAGGAGTATCATTCCGAGTTGCTCTCCATCTCGCACAGATTAAGCAAGCCAGGAAATTTAGACTGTTTGATTATGGGAGTGCATCTGCTAATATGAAGGCATATGGTTCACCTGAGCCTCTGGACTTGGGTGAACACTACGGACTTATTGACATTCCTGTTGACCTGGTTGCCGGGCAGAAGGACAGAGTGATAAGACCTTCCATGGTTAGAAGGCACTATAAGTTGATGAAGGATGCTGGCGTGGATGTATCCTATAGTGAATTTGAATATGCTCATTTGGACTTCACCTTCTCCCACCATGAGGAACTCTTATCCTATGTCATGTCACGCTTGCTTCTTGTGGATCCTAATTCAAAGCATCTAGCCAATCAGAGGTCCCTGAAGTCGAGGAAGAAAGGACAAGTTAGCAACTAGTGGATGGAATACATGCCAAATTTCAGCGTCATACTGCTGGTATTTTCTATGGCAGGTTTGCAATCTATAGCAGAGAATCACTGTTTATGAGAATGTTATATATATATATATATATATATATATATTATGACACGCACACACATACCTGTTTAATCATAGAGGTGCTCAGTCTGTGTGGTCATCTTTCCTTCAAATCTATACTTTTTTTGACCCTTTTGGTTTGGAGGAAAGGTGGGCCTTGAATATATATATATATATATATGTATGTATGTATATGTATATGTATGTATTTCGGTTCCTTTGTAATATATTGTAACCCATATGTAAGAACGGCATGAGAATGAAGCTATATTGATGTCGTTTGGTGTTCGCAATCGTTTACCATGTAAGTGTTTGGCTGGAACACTTGGATATTACTCCCTCCGTTCCTTATTATAAGAGACATTTGATGCTTATGGCATGTTCCTATATATAAGAGACACTTACAAGTTGTCTCTACTTTTTTGTGTTGATTTACTATTTTACCCATATTTATTATCTCCAACTCACACTCTCTCCCCCTCCCACTTCTCTTTCTTTTAATAATTTAATTGTTCTCTCTCATGCTCTCTCTCCTTATTAATGAGGGCATTTTTGGAAAAAAATTATATTTTTTACATATTAATTGTTCTTAACTAATTTTAACTGTTTTTTTGATCAACGTACTTCGGTTATTTGTCTCTTATAATAAGGAACGGAGGGAGTACATTATTACCTCATACTGCATAATCATTAGATTTATTTCCGTTAATAATGAATAAATTTTAGTTATTTATTGCCTTTTTCCTTCATTTGACGGGGTTTGTTATGAATACTTTGACGTTGAATGGATATTTATTGCTGGCCAAATATTTCAAGAAGAAATTTACTGTGAAGAGTCACATTGGAGTGGCTGCAAATCTGGTTTGATACCATATTTCATATTTGAACATTATGTTCGGATACAGTTTTTCTACTACGGTTTACTTCAATTTTAGCTTCAACACTTGAGATTTATTTGTGAGAGTAAAGATCGAAGCTAGAGTACCGATTCCCTTACAAACCCACTTCAACAGTCGCTGCTTACCAGGATGTAAGAGTGCGTTTCCATTGAAACAATAAATATAGAAACTGACATTTGATTTGTTAAATGTAATTAAATTCGTCTTTATTCATCATGTGCTCGTCACTGTAATGCAATCTAAACCATTTAAAATCTGATTTAAAATTTTTAATATATAATTTTTTTTCAATGGTAAATTTATTTTTTAAATATATGTTAGTTATAATATTATATTGTTTTTAAATTCTATATCTATTAAATCAAAATATTGATTAAAATATATATATAATTTAAATTCAATCTGAACCATTTAAAATCAATCTAAATGGTTCAAATTACAATGAGCATTCTATGCTCATCATTGTGATCAGTATGGAATGTGCTCCCGTAATTAAATATGTACTGTATTTATGATCAAATATGTGATTTCTTATTCAGAGTAACTTGTTTTGAATGAAATATAAAATTACTTCCTCTATTCTCAATATCAGAAACAAACAATCATCTCTTAATAGTACCAAGAAAGAGGAAGTTTTGTTAGTGAAATACTTTAAATACGCTGCAATTTCTTTTCCGTTCACAAAAATGCTCCTAATAAAGTCATTAAGTTGAGTCCCACCTTGATTAATTCATGCTAACTAAATGAAGGAAAAATGAAAAATGTGCATTAATTACACCTAACTTCAATTCTCTTATATTTTGAGACAAAATAAGAGCCTAAACATTCTTTTATAAATAGAAAGAGGGAGTAATGTTTACAAAGGGATTACAAATAGCTCAAAGAAAAAGATGGGGGAATCAAAGGTTCATTTTTACTGGGAAAAATTTGCTAAATAATCTGCTGCTTTTACAGTATTTCTACATAAAACTAAAATTAAGAGCCTTGATAACTTTGATGTATCTATTCAACCTAATTTAGGAGGATTGGCAGAAACTTCAAGTTGGCTTTCATGCAAATTCAAACTTAGTCATATTTTCCACTTTGAGAGCTTCCATAGAAGGCCTTAAGGTATCCTTCTCCCCTGCTAATTTCACTTTGGCAAATCACAATGCACCACTTGTTCATCTTCAATGGGACCCTGCAAAAAGCAAAAGCAAAATCAGTAGCTCAAGGCTCATCGCTCATATTTTTGGGAGCGGCTTTCCTCCTTTGCTTTTGCCATCTACTTACTGTCCGCTGCCTGGAACGACATTGTTTGGTTAGAAAGCGGATCTGAGTCAAATTAATCGGATGACAGCGTTTAATATGAAATCATGTTTCCTTCTTCGGCTCTTCATTCATCAGCACATCCTGTTTTAATTTCCCGTGTTCCATTCTTCTTCCACCAGCGTGGGAAAGTTGAAGGTACTGGAGTGAAGAAGTTTCTTAGAAGACTTGAAGAATTTCAACAAGAGAGATATATGGGTTCTGAATATTAAAGATTGGTAAGGAAACAAGTTTCCTCTTCTTTCGTATCTGTTTAAATTTTTTCGTAAAATGAATCAGTTTTGAGTCAATCCAAAAAGGAATTAGTTTTGAGAATGTAGGAGAAGCAAAATATAGCAATGGAAACCACCATTTTCATCTCTTTCTTGCGTGTTCTTTTCATGTGCGTGTGAGTATTTGAATTAAAAAGTCAAAAAACAAACCACCTGAATCAGCAACATACTGTGCAAATGTGGGCGTATATATTTTAATGAAAGATAGATTAAAATAATTGAATTCAAGAGAGTTTCGGGACTATGTGTATGCTTTGTTTAGTTAATAGATTTGATTTTGTGGGTGTATATGTGTGTGTATATTCTGCCTCATTTAATATATTTATTTGTGTGTGTACACAATTTGTAACTATTTTATTCATTTATCATTAATTAACATTATATACTTTTCAATTTTGCAGGAGGCTTAAACCATGGCAACAAATTTGACTCCTACACTTAATGTTGAATTTGATTGATGATATAGAAGCATATTGGGAATTTTGGAGAGCATATGGTAAAAGAATTGGTTTTGGTGTTCGAAAGCAGAGGTTTAACAAGAACCAAAAAGATAAGTTAACATATTCATCTTATCTATATGTTTGTAACAAAGAAGAGGTGAAAAAACTAGATAAACGAGAGGCGCAAATTAGGAAGCCTAGAGATGAGACAAGAACGAGTTGTGAAACTAGAATGAAAATTAAGCTGTTAAATGAAAAATATAGAATAAGTAAAGTTTTTCTAGATCATAATCATGCTCTTCAACTTCCTAAAGCTGTTCACCTACCTGCATCATATCGAGGATTAACACCAGCTCAATGTTATGAATTAGAAAATGCTGAAAAAGCTGGGATTAATTAAAAAAAAATTAGCATTCAATTTGCAAAGCCAATATGCAAGAGGTCGAGACAATTTGGGATATACAAAAGGTGATGTGAAAAATTATCTTAACTCAAAAAGGCAATGTGCCACGCAATACAGTGACGCTGGATATATATTTCATTATTTGAACAACAATTAGCAAAAAATCCTTTTTTTTTCATGCTCACCAAATAGACTTAGAGGAGAAAGTGACAAATGTGCTCTGGGTTGATGCACATGTGTGGGTTGACTATGCTTGCTTTGGAGAAGTCATTTCACTTGATATAACTTATTGCACAAATAATAATCATAAACCTCTTGTATTTTTCTCTGGATTCAATCATTACAAAAGATAGGTGATTTTCGAAGTGGCATTGTTATATGATGAGACCATTGAGACTTTCAAATGGCTCTAAGACTTTTTTGCATGCAAACAAGAATGTAAGGCCACTAACCATTTTTATTGACCAAGATGTTACTATGGCACGAACACTACAAGAAGTTATGCCAAATGTGAAACTGATATAGAGTATTATGCCCCTTGCTTGTTAAATTATCAAGTGATGTATCAAAAAGTGCAGAATCATTCTCTTTTGTCCATGAAGCTGTGTTGGAACTTAGTAAGAAAGTAACCAAGCTTCATATAAAATACTTGTTAGATGAGGATGGTGTGGGGAATTATGATGGTGGTACTGATGGTAGCAAAGTTGTTGGGCTTAAAAAGAGATATGGTAGAAAAATAAGTAGACGAATAAAGAGCAATATTGAAATTGGTCCAAAAGGATGGAAAACTAAAACCTCTAAAAAAGCTCCACAAGTTTGACTGTTACTTAAAACTTCACAACTATATTTATGATTTATTTATTTTTTATCAATTTAACTTTTTATTGATTATGTTATTAGATGTTTATTTCTTTCCAAATCTGTTAATGGGGCAGCAAAATGAATTTGAAAAATCCACCTCATCAATTCAAGTGCAACATGATCCTTCATAATTAATGAAAATGCTAAGCCAAGCTTCACAAATGTTAGACAACTCACAACCGAGTCAAATGACTTTTACTAATTTGTTGATAGTATGTCATTTAATGTTTAACAACACAATCTGCTAGTCTGTTTATATACAACTAAGTGAGACATTCTTCTTATTTGTTGATCGTAGGCATTGCTTGAATGTGACATCCTATCACTTGAAGCATTGAATTTTAGCCAAACATATAACACAGGTAACCATAAAAAATCATGATAATAGAGGAAAACAATTTAGTCACTTTTATTGAAATTTGAATTTTTTTACATAGCATTGTCTCATTTCAAGACAATTTGCAAATACAAAGTTACACTTTATTGCTAATACAGGTTCAATGATTGATGACGATCCTCCTACATGAAGTATCTATTTCAGCTTATTTTGTCCAGCTCTTTTATATAGTTTACAACTTCTTTTGGGCTACTTTCTTTTTTGGTCAAGCTAGCTCATCATTTTGTTCTTATGTGTTACTCTCTATTTTGATCAATCAAGCTCATCATTTTCTTTATTTGAGCTGGCTTTGTTTTTTGATGAAGCTTGTTCATTGTTCTTGTAACCTGTTATGCAACATCAAATTCTGTCATGCTAAAATATTTCTTTCTTATTGCAATTCAAACATCTTGATATATATCCATGCAGCAAATTAGGTATTGGTTTTGTGTGAATAGTGTGAATGCAGCCTTAAACAATGGAATGTGAAACATATTATTTTATCAG